TAAGCAACATTTTTTTTTCCAGTGTCAAAACTTAAATTGGCTAGATTCTAAATGGAAAGCATAATGGATTTCTCAAATTCAGTAAAGTATAGCAGTAAAGTTACTCACTAGAAGTAAATCAAAACATCTTCTATTTTTGAATGGCAACCCTAGACGAGCACATATTTATAAGGTTCTGCTGCAAATGTAAAAACCTCAACTGAATTATTGAGTTAAAATACTGCTAAAAGCTAATATTGTACATTTTCTACTCTGAATCTCTTTCATCTACATGGTGAATCCATGGTGGGATTCAACCAACATTACCACTGGTTTGGTAATTTTATGTTTTGCATACACATGTGTGCTTCATGCACACGCATGCCAGATGTGTGCTGTGCGCGTGTGTAGTACGCCCGGACAGCTGATAAGATTTTTTACTGCTTTTTCAACTTCAGCTGTTCCACGCAAAGCAACTGAGGTTGAAAAAGCAGGAAATAAAGGTCAGGTAAGAGCCTGGGTGGGCAGGTGGGTCAAACGGCAGCAGACACAGAACCGGTTCTGTGTCAGCTGCTCTTCAGAGCTACTGGCTCTATAGAGCTGGGCAGAACCGGTAGCATATCACCCTTGTCTACATACCTCATCTCTGTATTGTCTAGACCAGACCTGGGCATTTTACAGCCGCTGGGCCACATCTATCTATTTGGATGTCCCTGTCCAGCCTTGCACAAGGTCAATCAGAAATTAGAAAATAAAATATAAATAAATGTGCCACAGGGAGTGGGAGAAGAAGCCAAAGGCACTCCTTTAATCAGCTGGCAAGATAAAGATTTTTGCGCCTGTATCAGAAGAGCGGCGGCTGAGCTGAGGCTGCACACTCCCTCCTCCTCCAAGACGTGAGTGCCAGCAGCAGAATTAAGTTCAGCCTACTGGTTCGGCACTCCACAACAGTTCCATTTTCTCATGTGGCCTCTTGGGAGAAATAACTGCCCACTCCTGCTCTAGACTTTATGAGTGAAGGACTGGAAAAGACAGCTACAAGAAACTGTCCCTCTCCTCTTTTAGTTGGCAACTCTTATTGTGATCTTCTTAAGTGCATCCAGCAATAAGTATGCCTCCTATTGATACCATGTTGAGGTAGACAGGCCAAAAATTAGGAATGAAGGAAAGCAGGAGGTTTTTTTTTCCATGTCTGATGCCAATATCCTCTCTGCCAACCAATATGAGGCAAATGAATATTTGCAGAATACAGGTCAATGTATATTACCAAAGTAATGTGATTCCACAAAGAATATTAGTACAGCTATGCAAATGTTAAATAGTAGGAAGAAACACAAAAATAATTTCAGTGTTAGATGGAAAGCTCAAGTAACAGGTACTTGTACATATGTTCTACTGGAAGTCACACATCATACTAATTTGTTGATCACTTATGTCTTCATGCCTCAAAGCATGCCACCTTCACCATTATAAAACAAAATTTGTACAGAAATACTGTTTGACTTATATATATCCACAACATACAACTTTCTATTCTTAGTTATTCTGTGAAAATGACTGCTCTTATAGGCAAATAGCTATGCATATATATTTATATGTGCATGCATGCATCATGCATATATTTATATGAATCATGAAAGAAAATAGGGGATAGATAGAAAAATGTACATAAATAAAACAATGGAGCTCAATATTACCCAAGAAAAGTTGTGGTGGTGCAGTTGTTAGAATGCATTATTGCAGGCTAATTCTGCTGACTGCCAACTGCCAGCAATTAGGCAGTCCAATCCTGACCGACTCAAGGTTGACTCAGCCTTCCATCCTTCTGAGGTCAGTAAAATGAGGACCCAGATTGTTGGGGGCAATATGCTGACTCTGGAAACAACTTAGAGAGAGCTGTAAAGCATTATGAAGTGGTATATTTGTCTAAGTCTATTGCTAGTGTTATTGTTATTTATGAAATAACCTGCCCACCATTAAGAATTTAAAGAGAAGAATCAACTCCAGTATGAGATTTTTACTCTTGGATTCAACATACAAAACAAATGCAAAGGAACTAAATGATTTTCCCTCCCATTTTGCTCTAGGCCGGAAGACGTCAAACTGAAAAACCTCAACTTCCACAAAAACATACTCTCTGGTGGTATAGAAAATATATTTCCTTTATCAGGCCAATATAAAATCCACATCCCTAGAACTGGTACACTGTATACTCCTCCTGTTAATAGTCCAATTTTAAAATAGTGTTACTAAGCCTGCAATATACTTAGGAAAACAATTTTTTCTTCACTTAAGAAGAACATAAGATGTGCTTTCTGTCTGCCTTAGCAATACTATGAGTAGAATAGAATAGAATAGCTTTATTGACCAAGTGTGACTGGTCACACAAGGAATTTATTTCCAGTGCATAAAATCTCAATATACATACAACCAATCATGATCATAAAATACAATCATCACAAATCATAAGATACAAACTCAGTGATAGTCATAGGGTGTTAAACAAGCAAACAACATAAATCATAACAGAATGCTAAATAAGGCAATCAATGTAATTCATGAGATACAAACAGCAAACATACTCATCAGAAGCTGAAGAAACAGCTAATAGGAAAGATGAAAAAATGAGAAGGATAATAGCTATGAAAAGTTCGGTGGAAAAAGGTTTTTTTTTTTCAAACTAATAATAAAAACCTCAATAAAAAACCTACCAATTAGCAAGGATCCAGTTAATTTGTTTTCAAAGATTATTCCATATGGTTTCATAGAAAACAGCATCCTTCTCATTATTGACTTATTCTTTACCGAATTGTAAGAACTAATACTAAGCATTTCCAAGCCATTTTCACTCATGTGTCCCTTCATTTTCCTCCTTTCTCTATCCCCACATTCAATCCAAATTGGATTTCAGGAGGCACCTTTAGAGCAGAGTTTGGGGTGGGGGGATAAATCAAGAAAACAGAATTCATGGCCAGAGCAGAACAGAATCAAGCAGTTATGTTATGCTGTAAGATGCAGTCCTAAAAAATAATATCCTTGCTTCCAAGGGATTGAAAATGAAACTTGAATAGAGGACTTGACAAAGCTCTGAAAAAGACCCCCTTTTAAAAGTCCATCCTGCTCCTCTCTTTCAACTATTTTCATTGATATTCATGATAACAGTCTTAAAATACTACTGCAGTCTAATAGGTCTGATTACTACAGGATATGATACTAGAGTCCTGATAGTAAATACTATTGAATTCTAACAGTTCTGAAATACTGCTGCAATGCTTTCCCACCAGGCATAAAAAGCCACAATAGCAATAGCACTTAGACTTATATACCGCTTCATAGTGCTTTACAGCCCATTCTAAGCAGTTTACAGAGTCAGCATATTGCCCCCAACAATCTGGGTCCTCATTTTACCGACCTCGGAAGGATGGAAGGCTGAGTCAACCTTGGTGAGAATCGAACTGTCAAACTGTTGGCAGCCGGTACAGCAGAAGTAGCCCACAGTACTGCATTCTAACCATTGCGCCACCACGGCTCAGTGATAAAAAAAATTAGATGGTAAATTCACATAAGAGATTCCCAAAATAAACAACTCTATCAATGGCTTACATTCCATATTGCTCTACTGTTGGATGGAAGTTCCTGAATCCAGCAGGAGTTTCCACCAGTAATATTGGTTAGGAAGCAATTTTTGTCACTTGACTGTCCCTTTAGTAGCCTGTGCCATAGGAGATGGCATTGCATTACTAGATCAAAGAGCCTTCTGTCAGCAAATATCAACTTTAAATACAACTTCTATTTAATTTTATGGAATATTGAGAAAGGGCTCAATACTTTTTTTTGAAAATATATATTTTATATCTGAGAATTCAGATATGTACTTTAAGTGCCTAAATTGTTTAGATCAGTTTGTGACGGTAGCTCATAAACTGACAAAAATGGATACAAATAAAATTATTACAGATAAATTATAGGAAGCCAGATATAGTTTCAAATTATTCTTTTTCCCTAAGGAAGCAGAAAGTTCAATAAAACAGTTCAACTGCATTATCCAAAGTCTGGTATATTTAATTATCTTTCACTTAAACATCCCGTTGCAAAACTAATTAGATAATAATGTTTGCAGTAAACTAGAATTTTGGTTGTTCCTATCCTACTTTTTAATATGCATGAACTGGTTCTTATTGCTTGACTGTTCCTACTTGTTCCTTCCTAGTAGTAGTGTCTTAATAAACTCATAATTGAAAATCAGGTGATATAGCCTTTTATTCCCATATAAGCTAGAATTTGTAAACCAAATTTTTTGGGTTCTGACCTATCGGATAGCACTTTGATCAACTTGAAGGTTTTGTTTCAAATTCTGCTTCCCCTGATAAAAAAGGTTAACCAAAAGCCATTGATATACCTAGCAGACAGGTGGAGACAATTGCCCAAAATGATCTAGGATTCTGGATGATCACTATTTGCAGTGATTGTGTTTGCAGTTTATATGCACATATTTATCATCATCTCCCACTGTCCATCAAGTTACTGATAAATGTGCTGACATGTTCATAAACCATAGCAGCTTGTGTGGATGAAGATAAACAAACATTATATATGAATCAAACCTCACACACACAAGAGGTAAATGACTGTTTACAAAAAAAAGACCCTGTTGGTTATTGGCTATTATTCCCATGAGTTTCAGAATGTCAAGAGTTACCTTAATGTAATACTAGAAACATTAACCCTTAGCCTCCTGGGATTACGCAGCCATGAAAATGTAAAAAAAAAGATACAATTACTTTGGAGTTGTAGATAAATGTGATGAGCACATAATTGTGTGCTCCAAAGCACATTCAAACCTGAAGTGCATGTCAACCCTAATGGAGTATATATATGTATGCATATTATGCATTTGTGTGCATAAAATTGGAATGGCCATAAAATAAATATAATGCATTCATGCAAACAGGTACCTTCTCCCTACAAACAGAAGTATACTGTTTTAGGCACTGATAAGGAGAAATTCCATTCATGCTTACCTCTCCCTTTTAGGAGTGTGGACTGACAACTGTCCATTGGTTGAGGCATGTGGATTTATTATTAAGGAGGGCTTTGAAGAAGCTGAAGAGGAGATACATGTGGTTGACAAGTCCAGACTGCTGTGGTTGTTGCTGGTTGCTTCCTCTGCTGTGTGAGATCCTGTCACTTCTTTCCAGAGTTGCTGGAGTTCGGTTGGAATCATGCCTAAAACAAAATTCACTAGTTAATGTTTACTAATTACTACTAAATTTAATCACTAATTAATACATCTCCAAATGAGTTGACCTGTAAAGTGCTCAAGAAAAGTATCCACCATTGAAAAGTATCCAGAAACTTCAGTTGGTTCTAAATGCAGTGGCCAGTACAGTTTTGTACAAATCTAGATTCGCATATATGTTAACCCTCTGATGGGAGCTGCATTGGTTGCCAATTTGCTTCTGGATCCAATTCAAGGTGCTGGTTATCACATTTAAAGCCCTGCATGGCTTGGGTGATTTGAAGGACCATCTCTTTCTAATTAATCCAATCCACTATATCGGGGAGGCAGGCTATGTTATGATTTTCCACCATTAAGGAGATCCATCTAGTGTGACCAAGAAAAAGGTTCTTTTCCATGATGGCTTCATCCAGTGGAACATCGTGCCTATAGAGATAAAACTGGCCTCCACTTTCATACTTTTTCAAGATGTGGTTTTGTCAGTGGGCCTGGTTATTCCAGGCTGATATATAGCCTATCAAGTGGTTTGACTGAATATCAATGAATGCCAGGAGAGTAGGAACACATTGACTTTTGTATTTGTAAGCCACCTGCAGTCATTGTGAGTTAGACATCTTTAATAAGAGATTTAATACTATTGACCACAGCAATAACTATAATGGAATCAAAAAACACTTTATATAAGCACGCTATCCATGGAGGTATTTGCTGGACTAGAATTCCTGAATCTTTCCGGTTCGGTGGACCAATGGAGAGGGGGTGGTTTCGCTGCTTTCACAAATGCAGATGTGCACACACGGACATGTACTTGCCCACCACTTGCATGGCCTGGTCCCAAATGAACAGCAACCCAGACTAGGGGTTGGGGACTCCTGTGCTAGACTGCATTGCAAATTCAAGGTAATTTCATGATAACATGGATATTTATCTTCTTCTGCGGCTATGGATATTGAAAATAAAAGCTTTATGTTTATTTTATTTTTTAATCCTCATATGTTCAGAGATATATTTGAAAATGTGAAACTTTTTAAAAAATGTAAAGGAATCAGAAATTTGGGGAGAAAGATGTTCAATATTTTTTCTTCATTTCTCATAGTAAATGTTTCTAAATACTAGCATATACATTCAGGAACCTCAACTGGCTACATTGAGGACTGTGCCAAAATTTAGCTTAGCCAAGTGCCAAAATTTAGCTGACAGAGTTATGCAAGAACACCATGGAAACCACCAATAAAAAGCATTTTCAATATGCATTCCTGCTAGTGAAACATGAAGCTCAGGAGTTACCCCAGGATGGCTAGTGCCAGTGTCAGGAAGACTACTTTTATTTTTACATTCATGGAAACCTGTGTTGAGCCCTTGTAGCATAAAGACTCACAGGTCAATCTTTTGACAGGTTATCCCATCAGAATAGTAAACTGCTAAGCTTTTCTATTTGTGATCTCCACTGACATAGGGAGAATAATTACATAGCTTCTTTAGTTGTACACAGTAGCACTTTGCATGTTAATGGCTTGCACAGAATTACCTGTGGTAAGATGGGCAGCCAATAAATTTTATAAATAGAAATAATAATAAAATTAAAATCTGCTCAAGTTGGAAAACCTGGGTGCCCAAGGATGGTAAATGATGAGATATGCACATGATATTGTCATGCAAATCATGTGGCTGATGTACTTGTGTTAGTGGTCATGGTATGAATGACACCCAAATTATACAAGCATGTCATTTGCTCAATGATATTATGACATGTGTGTCATTTTGACACTGTGGCATGAAACTAGCACCTATTTTGAAAATAAATCAAGATGGATAGAATTCCAATAATAATTGAGGAGAATTATGATATACATTCCAAACATAAATGGGATTCAGAAATAAGATTCCGAAAACCTAATGTATTCAATATAAGAGAAGACTATTATTGGAATAGATGAATCATTGGTCAGCTCTAGCATGATACATGTCAATGTATAGGCTCATAAGCTCAATTATTTATCATCAGTGCTATATGGATTATAATTGTAATATAATTTCACAATTTTAATGTTAAGCGCTTCAGTATTAAAAATAAATATTTGAACTTGAAGTTATTCCTAAACAATAGCATGCTGAAAAAAAAAATCCCCATGAAAAAATGGGGATAAAATACAGATGTCTTCTTGGTCACTATGGAAAATAGAGACCATACTGAGGGATTTATTTTATAACTTTTTATAATTTAGTCGGATGATGAAAAAGAGACTTTCAATAAATGGTGTTTCATTTGCTGAAAGATGACAGAAAATGGTAACTTCTGTTTCGAAGCAAGGAAAGTCTTCAAAGACAACGTATCTCTGTTTTTATAATATCAGCACAAAAGTAATTTTGTGCTTGAATTGTAAATGATGACAAATAGCTTTGTTATTAAATATAGTTTTATTAATTACTTTTAGACATAAATTATGAATTCATATTGTCTCCCTGAAATGCTTTTTAAAATTTTAACAGTAAAATTGATTATACTGTGATTATGTCATTAACACACCTATCTTTCTCATTAATTTTGGTTTTTATCACTGCTCACTTGATGGATGTGCCTTATGTAAAAAATCTTGCAAGTTCCTACACAATTAACACTATTGTTATTACTAGTTTCTTGATCAGTGATAATATGCCACTGAAAGTAAAATAAAACAGAAAATACATTTTCATGAGAAATATGTTCTTTAAGTAAAGGTAGCTAGCGAAATTCAGGAAATACTAAGAGTCTTAACTAAACTGAAAATTTTAAAATACCCTTTTAAGATCAAATTTAGTTACACAAAACCTGGAGTGACACATATTAATCCCATTCTTATGAGATTCTAAGTTAACAAAACCACATAAATGTTTGCAAACAACATTTGAAGGTATCTTGGCATATTGCTGCAGAAAAAGTAGTGTAAGAAATTTGTATTAAAGTTATGAAGAACCTATGTTTTCTTCAAAGTAATTCTCTTTCTTTTGAAGACTAAAGACAAGGACCAAGAAATCCAGCTTCTTTGTTTCAAGGGACTGCATATAAAAAAAAATAAGTGTGAGGGTGTGTGTGTGGGGAGGGGGCAGCTTGCCATTTTCAAAATATACATCTGTATCTGAAACACAGACATGTCTCTTACCAGACCTAAGGCATTAAATAAAGGCAGTGTGCATTAGATTCATTTGAAACACATAATAAAAAATGCCAAGGTCTAAATTTAATTTATTTTTGTCATTTAGAATACAATGGCTAGATAATCATCTTAACGTGATCAGCCAAACATCTTTACTTTGCTAAACTGTTAAAGATTTTAATTATGCTAGCTTTGGAGAGCAGTGGTCTAATGAGGCGATAGACTCCAGAGAATCTAAGTGGTTAAGAACTGTGAAATGAGTCTGATAGGATTTTTTTTTATATTCACCGTGGATCGTTTGCATATCAAAGAGGAGTAAATTATTGCATGGCAGACCAATAATCTTCCCCGCCTTACTCAGAATGCCATTAACAAAAACATTTGGTCTTTGCTATGGGGCTGACTTAAAAAAAAAAAAAAAGCAAAATTGTTCCCAATTAGTATATATTCTACAAGATACTTCAACATTCAGTCGTCTGAGTCGTGATACATTTACTGTTATAAAGCTGTTTATTTCTTCTTTTATACAAACAAACAAACAAACAAATGCCAAATATTCTTTGAAGAAGTTGGCCTCATGTGAGGGATGCACTATTATTCAGTTATAACCTGTCCCCCAAAATTAAAGCTCTGAAGAAATCTGAACAAAGAAAAAGGTCACCGTGTAATCTTACATCCTGTTTAACAGCAAGAGCTATTATTTTCAAACCTCTTGCAAAGTGACAAAGTAGAGTATATTTTTAGCTTGACAGGATTGTCTCCACACTAACAATTACTGTGAATATGACCGACCCTTTCACCACTGTTTACTCAGTTGAAACAATAGTGAATGGACCTGTCTGTTGATGGGATAGTAGATACTAGATTGCGTGAGTCAATCTTAAATGTTGAGATTCTACCAATAAGAGAAAATTATATTTATCATTATTATTCATCACTATGAAATTTTCATGTGCATAGATTTTTTTAAAAAGATGGGTAATGCTATAAAACTGCTTGATTTTTGTTCATTTAGAAGATGGCATAAAGTATCTCAATGTATCAAGAGCAAAAGAGGAGAAATAACATATTAAAATCTCTACAACAAACCTCCCATAGAAGAGCAATTGACTGACATTTATGAGGGCATCTGTGCACAGCACAAGTAAAACCCAGATTTGTGTATAAACTTATATAGCAACATCTGGAACAATTCACTGGCAGAGGATTATAGATTAGATGGCTTTAGGCAAAAGAATCCAATTATGATGTCATAGAGTAAAATTAAATATCTCAATAACTATATGCACTTTTACTTGTGGCTTTTTATCAGTTTTGTTATCCACAATTTTGTTTACTCTAAATAGAATCAACATACATGTAAAGGTGTTCACAAAATAATAGATGGGCTTTTGTGCATGCAAAAAGTGTTTTTTTTAAGAGTTGGATTCTTTGCACGAGATATTTGTCCTCCTTCTGACCAAGGTAGAGTAGATCACACTGAATTAATCCAGCTGCAAAGCTCCATATGGCTTTCTGGAAGCAATTGAATGCCTTTTTCTTTGGAACAATTCAGTGGTGGTGGAAGGAGTTGCTTACTCAGGCCACATGGTTCATACTGGCTTTTCTCTGCCACACAGTTCTTCTCAATCTCAGACAGAAGAACTGCTTTGTCACATTGCTGGGTTTTAGTGTTGCCACTGCTTGCATTTTGCTCCAGTGACCAAAAGGCTGGCAATCACGGCTGGAAGTGCTCCTTTGAGAAGGAAAATTATAAAAACCTGTAACTGCCTGTGATCAATTAATTATAAGCACCACTGCAATCGGACCTGCTCATTCTTGGAGGCTACAGAAGGACTATCCTAACTTGTCCA